TCAGGCTGGTCCTGAACCTCCTGGGCTCAAACGATCCACCTGTCTCGGCCTCCCAAAATGATGGGATTACAGGCATGAGCCACCACACCACCATATTTTTTATTTTTATTTCATTTATTTTTATTTGAGACGGAGTCTTGTTCTGTTGCTTAGGCTGGAGAGCAGTAGCAGGATCTCAGCTCGCTGCAGCCTCACCTCCTGGGTTCAAGTGATTCTCCTGCCTCAGCCTCCCGAGTAGCTGGTATTACAGGTGTGCGCCACCACGACCGGCTAATTTTTGTATTTTAGCAGAGACAGAGTTTCCCTATGTTATTGGGGCTGGTCTCAAACTCCTGACTCAAGTGATCTGCCCACCTCAGCCCCACGAAGGGCTGGGATGCAGGCGTGAGCCACCACACCCAGCCTATTTTTTGGCTTTTGAATAGAGACTGAGTCTCGCTTTGTTTCCTGGGCTGGTCTCCAACTCAAGCCATCGTCCCACCTGGGCCTCCCAAAGTTCTGCGTTTACAGATGTGAGCCAATGTGCCCAGCCACTAAACTATTCTAAACACACCCACAGACAAGGACACCACGGTTGTGAACCAGGGTCAGTGTCACTGTTAGAGGGGCCCCAGGTCTCCTAGGAGCTGTCACCGCCTAGGAGAACTTGTAGGGAAAGTGGCTCAGGCACAAATATGGTGGTGGGAGGTAAAGCACTACGGCCACTGTGGGAGATCTGAGAGATGCATTTTCAAGACCTCCACAGGTACCTCATGCCTGTAATCCCAGCACCTTGTGAGGCTGAGGCGGGCAGATCACCTGAGGTCAGGAGTTCGAGACCAGCCTGGCCAGCTTGGTGAAACCCCATCTCTACTACAAATATAAAAATTAGCTGGGGGTGGTGGCACATGCCTGTAATCCCAGCTACTTAGGAGGCTGAGGCAGAAGAATCACTTGAACCTGGGAGGCAGAGGTTACAGTGAGCCGAGATTGCACCGCTGCACTCCAGCCTGGGCAACAGGACAAAAACTGTCTCTAAAATGAAATAAAATATCACCCCTGTGATCCCAGCACTTTGGGACCCCAAGGCGGGAGGACCACTTGAGCTCAGGCATAAGAGACCACCCTTGGCCACAAAGCGAGACCCCCATCTCTTATTTAAAAAATAAGTAATGCAGGCCAGGTGCGGTGGCTCACACCTATAATCACACTTTGGGAGGCTGAGGAGGGCAGATCACCTGAGATCGGGATTTTGAGACCGGCCTGATCAACATGGTGAAACCTGGTCTCAACTAAAAATACAAAATTAACTGGGCGTGGTGGTGTGTGCCTGTAATCCCAGCTACTCGGGAGGCTGAGGCAGGAGAATTGCTTGAACCTGGGAGGCGGAGGTTGTGGTGAGCTGAGATCACGCCATTGCACTCCAGCCTGGGCAACAAAAGTGAAACACCATCTCAAAAAAAAAAAAAAATTAAAACATAAATACATAATAAAATGTAAAAATGCAAAGGCAATCGATTACACGGGCCCCATGCACAGGAACCCACCCCCCTAAAGATGCTCATTTGGTCATACCCAATACACATCCACACTCAGACAGACATACTCATTTACAGAAAGACAAATGGCAAAACCCAGGCATGTACACCAGAAGCCCTTTCTTCCTAGCCGTGAAATAAAGACCATCAGATCCCTGAAACTAACATTTGGTCCTTGATCCAGCCATGCCTGAAGCTGACCCTCCAGCTACTGTTTTCTGACACATGAGCCAAAAACTTCCCTTTTTTGCTTGAACCTATTTTAATTGATATTTTGTGGAGCACAGCCAGAGTCCTGGCTGATAGAGATGAATAAGGCACTTGCCAGGTGACAATAATTGAGGCAATTTTTTTTTTTTGGTTTTGTTTTGTTTTTATTTTAAGATTGAGGCATTCTTGAATGTATTGCAAAATGTAGGATATTTACAAAGGCCTGGAGGTAAGAGAGCATGGTGGTGCAAACTGTACTTTAGGGTGCACAATAGTGCTAGCAATAGATTCAGGGGTCTGAATTCAGTCTGAGTACTTAGTCTACTTAGAACTTAGGAGCACTAAGGAATATTAAGTACTTAGGAGTACTTTGTCTACTAAGTGGGAGCCATTGAATGTTCTTGATGTTGGGGGAAGTTCTACTCTCAGAGATGTCCCTTAGGAGACAGTGCGTGAGAATAAATGCTCTCGCTGCAAACCTTTGCGATAAGTGTAGGTAAGAGAAGACTGAGCCTTAAGAGAGGTCGGCCACTTAGGCTTCCCAGGCACAATCTTGACTTTGAGCTCAGAACCAGTGGATCTGAACTACCATTTCCGGCATGCAACGCGAGTGACCTCCTCGTCCCTGATGATTTGCCGGCTCAAAAGACGCTGATTGGTTACACCGGATGCTCGTCAGACAAGAGTCGGGCTCTAATTGGTCGAGTTCCCGCAGAGAGCCCGGAGCCCCAGGCCGGTGGGTCCGTGCACCGCGCTCCAGCACGCGTCATGGTGAGCTAGCGTCTCGCGAAGTGGGGGGCTCTGCAGGGCCGGGGCCCAGCCGAGGCGGTCCAGAGAGATAATGAGGGAATGGGGTCTCTTTTTGGGGATTAGAGGCTCTGAGGGATTCGGCTGCACGCTGAAGGCCGTGTGTCCCTCTCTGGGGGCCCTGCTCTCGGGGCAGGACCCCCGAGGGAGTCGGCGGGGGTCGTACCGAGGGGACTGGAAGTCCCTAAGCGTTCTGTGGAAACCTTTTAGGGACCTGGCGTCCTGCTGAGGGGTCGTGGTCCCACAGAGAGGACTGGGGACCCCAGCACATTTGGAGCCTTGCTAAGGTGGCGTGGGGTCCAGTCTGGGGACGGGGGTCCTGCAGGAGCGTGGTGGCCGTGCCGACCGTCGGGGGTCCCTGCTGTATCGGGGTGTGTGTAATGGGCAGGGGAAGCCGTGGGAGGTGAACCCAGGAGGTCTGGGTGGCCTCAGGGCGAGCAAGGGTCTCAGAGTGGGAGACAGGACAGTTGGAACCTTCAGGACTCACGCGGCTCTGGGTCCACCCATTGAGTGTGTTCTTAAAACAGCCCAGCCCGGGGGGGCCAGGCTGGTGCCGGGAGATGGGGGACTCCCGCAACCCTGACAGGACCGGCCTGGGCAGAGAGAGGGGACGTGAAACTAGAGGGTCCCTGCCTGGGACCACCCTGAGGTGGGGCGCTGGAGACCGCTCTGAAGGAAGGGAACTGAAGGCCGGGATTGTTGAAAGCGGGGCGTCGTCCCAGGCGGAGGTGCGGGATGCTGGAGGAGATGAGGGCACGGGCTCTTTGGAAGTAGATGGAGGGAGGCTGCACTGATTTTAGCAGGGTTCTTGGAGTCGAAGATCATAAATCCAGTGAAGGGGAAAGAAGGAGCTGATGGAAGACTCCAGAAAACCTTTGGCGATGTCTGCAGAGCTCTGACTCTGAGATAGGAGACTGGCTGGAGGGCAGGGTTGTCAGAACATCCCTGGACAGACCCCTGGGAGGCTTAGATGGAGAGATGCACCCCTCCACGTTTTCCTTAGGGGGGTTTGGGGAGTATTGGGGTCATTGATGAAGAGCCAGCAGGTCTAGGAAGACCTCTGAGACTCCATTGGTTGGGCGCAGGGAGGGCTGAGGAGAGAGCTGGGCCGTGGGGAGGTGGAGGGGTGCTTTCCAGCTGGGCCTGCAGGGTGCAGATCAAGTTAGGTGCTGACTGTGAGATTGGGAAGGGCCCGAATCACCTGGAGGGGTATGGGATGGTGGGCAGTTGTTGGGGCCTCCCAGGAGAGCCTGGAGGAGTCTGCTGATTGAGCTCAGCAGAGAGGTCTGGGCTGGAGGTGTCGCTTTGCTGAGGTTGTGATGGGCTGGTTGATTGGGTGGTTAAAACCCTGGCAGGTCACAGGTGAGAGGCCCCAGAGGGAGGAGAAAAAGACTGGGAGGCCCTGGGGAGGAGGGGGCAGGGGGAAGGGTGGGGCTTTGACAGCCCTGGCCCACTAGCTTACAGGGGCCCAGGGACTGGCACTCATGGTCCTTAAGTGCCAGCCAGCCAGTCTGCACCGAGGTCCTGAGCAGGGCGAGCAATGAGGATTTAGAGAAAGGTGGTGCATCAACCTCATTAGTGAAAAAATATTTCGGGTCTGTTTACAAGTCACAGGCATGGAGAAAATGTCCCATTAGTCCGTTATTTATTACTTTGTTTTGAGATGGAGTCCCACTCTGTTGCCCAGGCTGGAGTACAGTGGCGCAATCTCGGCTCACTGCAACCTCTGCCTCTGGGTTCAAGAAATTCTGCTGCCTCAGCCTCCCGAGTAGCTGGGATGACAGGCATGCGCCACCATGCCTGGCTAATTTTTGTATTTTTAGTAGAGTCAAGGTTTCACCATGTTAGCCAGGCTGGTCTCGAACTCCTGACCTCAAGTAATCATCAGCTCGCCTTGGCCTCCCAACATGCTGGGATTACAGCAGTCATTTTGAATTACCTCGTTAGGTGTGGTATCCATCTCATTAGGATTTTTCCACCTAAATTTAGCTTATTTATGCCTGATTAAAGGATTATTTTAATAATTAATTTTACTATTAAATAATCTTTATTTCATTTTGATTATACTACCAGAATACTAGTAGACAGTTCTCCTGAGCATATAATTTTACGTAATTTTGTGATTACTGGCAGCAAATGGGTATTTACTGCATTCAAGCAGGAAAACCCAGCTTCACCACAGACTGATTCTTCTAAAACGTTTAAAAATAAGTATATGAAAATGTGTTCTGAATTAAGAACTGGGTGAGAAAATTCCTAATTAAAAAAGTCATAGCTGGGTGTGTTGGTGCATGGCTGTAGTCCTAGCTACTCGGTGGGCTGAGAGGGAGGATCACTTGAGCCCAGGAGTTTGAGACCAGCCTGGGCAACAGCAAAGACCCCATCTCTAAACATAAAAATAAAAAAAGCCGGGACACAGTGGCTCACGCTTGTAATCCCAACACTTTGGGAGGCCACGGCAGGAGGACTGCTTGAGCTTAGGAATTCAAGGCCAGCCTGAGCAATATGGAGAAATCCTATCTCTATAAAATAGACAAAAATTAGCTGGGCGTGGTGGTGGGTTCCTGTAATCCCATATACTAGGGAGGCTGATGTGGGAGAATCACTTGAGCCCGGGGAGGCTGAGGCTGCAGTGGGGATCCTAGCATGCCACTGTACTCCAGCCTGGGTGACAGAGCAAGAACCTGTTCTTACCACCACCCCTCCCACCCCCCCCCCACCTAAAAACAAACAAACAAAAACAAACCCAGAAATAAAAATGAATAAATAGGCCTGGAACAGTGGCTCATGCCTGGAATCCCAGCACTTTGGGAGGCAGAGGGGGATCACCTGAGGTCGGGAGTTGGAGACCAGCCTGACCAACATGGAGAAACCCCATCTCAACTAAAAGTACAAAACTAGCTGGGCGTGGTGGCGCATGCCTGTAATCCCAGCTACTTGTGAGGCTGAGGCAGCAGAATCGCTTGAACTCCGGAGGCGGGGATTGCAGTGAGCTGAGATCGTGCCATTGCACTCCAGCCTGGGCAACAAAACTGAAACTCCATCTCAAAAATAAATAAATAAATAAGGTCACCCCACTCAGACATGTAAGTCTTTACACCAAAACAGGTGGTGGCCGGGAGTGTAGATGCCCTTTCAAGGAGGTTAATTACAGAGGGAGGGAGGGGGAGGAGGGTGATGGGACCATCAGGGATCATTTAAGGTCGGAGACACTCAGGGGAAAGAACTACCAGGGTGAAGGAGAAAGCAGGAAGCGCAGCCGAGACGCAGTGGCTTTCCTGGGCGGGACTGCGGAGTGCAGGAGGCGCTGGGAGCCGCTTTCACTGAATGTGGCGGGCTCGTGGTTAGGGCTGGAAGGTGATGGTGAAGAATACAGGAGGCTACACAGGAAGCACCCATTTCCAGATGAGCAAACTGAGACTCCGGGAAATCAATATTATACCTGAATCCACAGTGGAGGTGGGAGGCGAACCCCATGATCTCCACCTCCCTACACTCCAGCTAGCTGGTGGTGGTGGTGAGGGGCGCTGATCTCTGACGAGGGAGGGCAGGGCCAGGCTACGTGAGGGGAGCTCCCAGGGTTGAGTCGAGGCTCACCCCAGGACCCTACCCTAAGAAGCCGCGAGAGCCAAAGAGGCTCGCCCTTCCCCCATCGGGCCTGGCTTCTCTATAAATAGCCTGGGTTCCTAGGGAGGGAGGGAGCTTGTGACCCTCTGGCAGGTGCCGCTAGTCGTGTCCCCTCCCCCCAGGCGGTCCTCGGAGTGCAGCTGGTGGTGACCCTGCTCACCGCCACCCTCATGCACAGGCTGGCGCCGCACTGCTCCTTCGCGCGCTGGCTGCTCTGCAACGGCAGGTGAGCCCCGCCCCTGCGGTGGGAGGGGCCCGCGGAGCCACGCCCCCTCTGGGTCCCCACGCCCGCCTCACGTTGCACAGCCTTGATTTTGGTTGGTGGGTGGTGGCGGGTAAAGCGCTGTTGAGGTGTAACTGAAGTACAACAAACCGCATATAATTTGTTTTTTCTTTTTCTTTTTCGAGGCAGGGTACTCGCTCTGTTGCCCAGTCTGGAGTGCAGTGACCTGATCATAGCTCACTGCAGCCTCTACCTCCTGGGCTCAAGTGACCCTCCTGCCTCAACCTCCTGAGTAGCTGAGACTACAGGTGTGCACCACGGCGTCCAGACAACTTTTAAATTTTTTTTTTTTTTTTTTTTTTTTTTTTTTGAGAGACGGAGTTTCACTCATGCTACCCAGGCTGGAGTGCAATGGCGCGATCTCGGCTCACCGCAACCTCCGCCTCCTGGGTTCAGGCAATTCTTCTGCCTCAGCCTCCTGAGTAGCTGGGATTACAGGCACGCGCCACCATGCCCAGCTAATTTTTTGTATTTTTAGTAGAGACGGGGTTTCACCATGTTGACCAGGATGGTCTTGATCTCTTGACCTCGTGATCCACCCGCCTCAGCCTCCCAAAGTACTGGGATTACAGGCTTGAGCCACCGCGCCCGGCAAATTTTTTAATAGATATGTGGGTCTTGCTAAGTTGTGCAGTTGCTGAAACTCATGGGTTCAAGAGATTCTCCCGCTTGGGCCTCCCAAAGTGCTGGGATTACAGGCGTGAGCCCCAGTGCCTGGCACAAACATTATATATTTGAAGTGCACAGTTGGACCCGTTTTGACAGATGTACACATGGTGGAACCATCACCACACTGCCCACATCCTCACTCCTCCTGCCTCCCTGTAACCCAGCCTTCCTTTCACCCCTGCACCTGCTAGAGATCACCTGCTCCAGTTTTTGTCCTTGTGTGGGTCTCTGATGCTTTCTGAGAATCTGGTGAAAACTGAATTCCCTCCTGAGAAAAACGTTCATGACAAAAGCAAGGGCAGAAAACCAGTCAGGCCTGATACATGACGGCCCAGGCCCATAATCACAGCACTGAGGGAAGCGGAGGTGGGAGGGTCACTTGACCCAGGAGTTTAAGACCAGCCTGAGCAACATGGCAAGTCCCCGTCTCTACCAAAATATTTAAAAATTAGCCAGGTATGGTGGCTCACACCTGTGATCCCAGCTAATCAGGAGGCTGAGGCGGGAGGATCGATTGAGCCCAGAAGGTCAAGTCTGTAGTGAGTGAGATGGCAGCACTGTACTCCAGCCTGGGCGACAGAGCAAGGCCTTGTCTCAAAAACAACAAAAATGGCTGGGCGCTGTGGCTCACACCTGTAATCCCAGCACTTTGGGAAGCCAAGGCCAGTGGATCACTTGAGGTCAGGAGTTTGAGACCAACCAGCCTGACCAACATAGTGAAATCCTGTCTTTACTAAAAATACAAAAATTACCTGGGCATGTTGGTGCTGTGCCTATAGTCCCAGCTTCTCAGGAGGCTGAGGCAGGAGAATCACTTGAACCCGGGAAGTAGAGGCTGCAGTGAGCCAAGATCATGCCGCTGGGTGACAGAGTGAGACTCCGTCTCAAAAAGAAAAAGAAAAGTTGCACACACTTGCTTCCCCAGGAGAGTTAGCTAGCAGACTCAGGGGTATCCGAGGCCCCTGAGCCCACTCAGCCTAGATCTGTTGGTCTCATGATTTCCCCAGAATCTCCCTGTGCTGTAGCTGCCTTCCCCCACCTCCCGGTGTCCCCCTGGCCCAGGCCACCCTCTAACTTGAACCCCTGAATTTGAGGTTCACTGCCTCAACCTCCCAACCCCACACCTGAGCATCCCTGACTGCCTGTCGTTGCCCTCAGTCTGTTCCGATACAAGCACCCATCTGAGGAGGAGCTTCGGGCCCTGGCAGGGAAGCCGAGGCCCAGAGGCAGGAAGGAGCGGTGAGTGAGCTGGGCCCCAGCCCCAGCCTTGGGTGGGCGGCTCCTCAAGGGGCTCCGGGCTCAGGGACACAGGACCTGCCCGCCCACACTTCCGGGCACTGATCTGGGCACAGGTGAACTGGGAGACCCTAGTCCAAGGAGATGGTCACTGTCAGGTTAGCATGTTTCCTGGCAGTTTGCTCTAGCCAGTCCCATGGCAGGGGTGGGAGGAGGTGGCGGGGATGGGGGCATGGGTCAGGTGGGGGCTGGAGCACCTCCCCATGTGCAGAGGAGCCAAGGCTGTGGGAAGAGATGGTCTCCAGGCCAGCTGCTCTGAGCTCTGAGGGTGGCTGGCCCCAGTAGGATGCATGCTGACCGTCCCCCTTCCTTGTCACCATCCTCCCAGATGGGCTGATGGCCTTAGTGAGGAGAAGCCACTGTCTGTGCCCCGAGATGCCCCGTTCCAGCTGGAGACCTGCCCCCTCACAACCGTGGATGCCCTGGGTAACAGCCCAGTTCTGTCCCTAAACTCCCCTCCCTCAGCCCTGAAGGTCCCCATACTCTCATGGGGGTGGGGAGGATTTGGAGGAGGAGTGTTCCATTGTGGGGGGAGTGGGCTGGGCCCCAAGGCTGAGCAGAGTGTCCCCATGCAGTCCTGCGCTTCTTCCTGGAGTACCAGTGGTTCGTGGACTTTGCCGTGTACTCGGGCGGTGTGTACCTCTTCACTGAGGCCTACTACTATGTGCTGGGCCCAGCCAAGGAGACCAACATCGCTGTGTTCTGGTGCCTGCTCACAGTGGCCTTCTCCATGTATCCTTCCTCTCTGCTCCCTGCCAGCGGGGCAAGTGGGAGCAGGACCCCAGCTTCCCTGGCCCCACTAAACTGGTGTGGCAGTTTTCACTTCCTATGCCACAAACTTCCCAAGGGTGGTGGCATAAAGCAGCTGGTTTTATGTGCTCTGGCTCTGTGGGTGGGCAGACTGGGCTGGGCTCAGCAGGTCAGTTCATCTCTACTCCACATGGTCGTGCCCCTTGGTGGCAGTGGAAATACCAGGAGGCAAGAGAGAATGCCTTGCCCAGAGTCACCCAGTCCATCCCTGTTCCTTCTACCACATTCTCCTCATCTAAGGACATCACCAGGCCAGTCCAGAATCAGGGGCCAAGAAAGAGATGGCCCCCTTGGCAAAATTAAGTAACACACACACACACACACACACACACACACACACACACACACACACACACGTATGTATGTATGTATATGTACATATATTTGTTGTTGAGACGGGGTCTTGCTTTGTTGCCCAGGCTGGTCCTGACTGGCTTCAAGTGATTCTCCTGCCTTGGCCTCCCAAAGAGAGCAAACACATGACTTTGGGGACCCAAGTCTGAGAAAGCACAGAAAGAATGCCACTTCTGTGACTTTTGGAGAGGGAGACCTATACTGGTTCCCCAGATTCCCGTGCCTTTTTTTTTTCCTTTTTTTTTTTTTTGAGGTGGAGTTTCACTCTTGTTCCCCAGGCTGCAGTGCAGTGGCATGATTTAGGCTCACTGCAACCTCTGCCTCCCAGGTTCAAGCAATTCTCCTGCCTCAGCTTCCTAAGTAGCTGGGATTACAGGCATGTGCCACCATATCCGGCAATTTATTGTAGTTTTAGTAGAGACAGGATTTTACCATGTTGGTAAGGCTGGTCTCGAACTCCTTCCCTGAGGTGATCCACCTGCCTCAGCCTCGCAAAGTGCTGGGATTACATGTGGCCTGTATTTTTTTTTTTTTTTTTGAGAAAGGGTTTCCCTGTGTCACCCAGGCTAGAGTGCGTTGGTGCAATCAGGGCTCACAACAGTTTCAAACTCCTGGGCTTAAGTGATTCTCCCACCTCAGGCTCCCCAGTAGCTGGGACCGCAGGCGCTACCACCATGCCCAGCTAATTTTTAATTATTTTTGGTAGAGATGAGAGTCTCCCTGTGTTGCCCAAAATGGTCTTGAATTCCTGCACTCAAGGGATCCTCCTGCCTTGGCCTCCCAAAGTGCTAGGATTACAGGCATGAGCCACCACGCCTGGCCCCCATGCTGCACTTTGAGGGCAGATTGGAGATGAAGCCCTTCTATCTCTCTTGCTTTTCCAAGGGATGTGAAGCAGGTGAGGTGGATGGAAGAGGCAGGGCCACCCAGAGGGGGAGGCTGTACAGACATGGTAGCCATTGCTTTTTTTTTTTTGAGACGGAGTTTCGCTCTTGTTACCCAGGCTGGAGTGCAATGGCGCGATCTCGGCTCACCTCAACCTCCGCCTCCTGGGTTGAGGCAATTCTCCTGCCTCAGCCTCCTGAGTAGCTGGGATTATAAGCACGCGCCACCATGCCCAGCTAATTTTTTGTAGTTTTAGTAGAGACGGGGTTTCACCATGTTGACCAGGATGGTCTCGATCTCTTGACCTCGTGATCCACCCGCCTCAGCCTCCCAAAGTGCTGGGATTACAGGCTTGAGCCACCGCGCCCGGCCTTCTTTTTTTTTTTTTCTTTGAGACAGAGTCTCGCTCTGTCACCCAGGCTGAAGTGCAGTGGTACGATCTCCGCTTGCTGCAACCTCTGCCTCCCAGGTTCAAGTGATTCTCCTGCTTCAGCCTCCCAGGTAGCTGGGATTATAGACCATTTAGAAATGGTCACACCATGGTGACCATTTCTAAATGGCCACCGGTGGCCTGATGAGGCCATCTCCCACGCAGCAGGAACCCCCCAGCCCATATCCCGATCTGGCTCCAGCACCCCAAACCTGCACTCCCCTAAGTCATCCCCAAGGCCTATTTGTGCAGCAGGGCTTGTCCCTGAAGTTGTGGGGTCCCGGGCTGGGCGTGGTGAAATGCGCAGAGTGGGGCAGTGGCACCTGAGGCCTCCTTACCTCCAGCCCCCAGCAAGGCGTTCCTGACGGTGACACGGCTGTACTTCAGCTCCGAGGAGGGGGGTGAGCGCTCTGTCTGCCTCACCTTTGCCTTCCTCTTCCTGCTGCTGGCCATGCTGGTGCAGGTGGTGCGGGAGGAGACCCTCGAGCTGGGCCTGGAGCCTGGTAAGTGCAGTCCCCAAGGTGGGGCACGCAGCTGTCACTCCCTCATGTAATCTGACCAGAGTGGTTTCGGTGGCTCAGCATCCAGCACGAGTGGGCTCCCGGGGTGAAGTGGGGTGAAGGCAGTCCCCGTTAGTGACCATCTCGGCTCCTGCACCTTGTTGGGCTTTGGGGAGGAGAGGACATTCCCTTTCCCACTGTCACTGATGGACACCAATGGCTAGAGTTCTTTTTTCTTTTTTTTTTTTGAGATGGAGTTTCACTTTTGTCACCCAGGCTGGAGTGCAGTGGCTCAATCTTGGCTCTCTACAGCCTCTGCCTCCCACATTCAAATGATTCCCCTGCCTCAACCTCACAGGTAGCTGGTATTACAGGTGTGCCCCATCACACCCGACCAATTTTTGTATTTTTATAAAGATGGGGTTTCGCCGTGTTGGCCAGGCTGGTCTTGAACTGCTGACCTCAGGTGATCCACCCGCTTCAGCCTCCCAAAGTGCTGGGATTATAGGCTTGAGCCACTGTGGCTGGCCTCGTTTATTTTTTTTTTTAATTGTTAGGCCGGGCACGGTGGCTCACGCCTGTAATCCCAGCACTTTGGGAGGCCGAGGCGGGTGGATCATGAGGTCAAGAGATCGAGACCATCCTGGTCAACATGGTGAAACCCCGTCTCTACTAAAAATACAAAAAATTAGCTGGGCATGGTGGCACGTGCCTGTAATCCCAGCTACTCAGGAGGCTGAGGCAGGAGAATTGCCTGAACCCAGGAGGCAGAGGTTGCGGTGAGCCGAGATTGCACCATTGCACTCCAGCCTGGGTAACAAGAGTGAAACTCTGTCTCAAAAAAAAAAAAAAAAAAAAAATTGTTTATTTTTGTTTTTGTTTTGTTTTTTTTCTTAAAGATGGGGTTTCACCATGTTGGTCAGGCTGGTCTTGAACTCCCGACCTCAGGTGATCTGCCCGCCTTGGCCTCCAAAGTGCTTGGATTACAGGCGTAAGCCACTATGCCCGGCCTGTTTGTTTATTTTTGATCTGCCCGCCTCAGCCTCCCAAAGTTCTGGTATTACAGGTGTCTGAGCCACCGTGCCCAGCCTCTTAAATGATGCTTTTAACACATAATTGGGACCTCATCACTTCTCTGCCTGGCACCATATTCTCTGGGTTTAAGGAGAAAGAGCATAGTCCTCACCGTGGCCCACATGACCCTGCTGACTCCTGGAGTTTTACCTTCTCCAATTCTCCCTGCCTTTCAGTTTTTAAAATTATATATGTTTGATATATACAAAGAAGATGTGCATGTCAATTATAAAGCAAAATAATAATATGAGTACCTGCAAACCTACCCTCATATAAGTAGGTGGGGTAGTGACTGCAGCCATCTCCCAGAGGGGCAGTAAGGTTTAAATGAATCAAGATCCATGGATGGGGCTTGATTTTTTGCCAACCTAGCCCTTGTCATGTGGAATGATGCCCTGTGTGGCCTGAACATGCATTTCTCTGATTACCAGGGAAGTTGAGCACCTGTTTCTTCGTAATTCACGTCTCTCCTATGAAGTTTATTTGAAATGCCTGTTCAAGTTGTTGCCCATGTTTGTATCTTTTTTTCTTTGAATTTTTATTCATTGTGGTGAAATAGACGAAACATAAAATTCACCATGGTAACAATGTTTAAACGTGTGGCCCAGTGGAATTAACTATATTTAGATTGTTGTGCAACCACCACCACGGTCCATCTCCACAACTCTTTCATCTTGCGAAACAGACACGCCATCCCATTAAACACTAACTCCCTGTTCCTCCTCCTGCAGCCCCCGGCACCCAACATTTTACTTCCTGTCTCTGTGAATGTGACCACTCTAGCTTCCTCATATAAGTGGCATCATACAGTATTTGTCCTTTGGTGACCGGCTCATTTCACTCACCACAATGTCGTCAAAGTGCACCATGTTGTAGCAGGGGTTAGAATGGGTTTTTTTCTTCTTTGAGACAGGATCTCACTCTGTGGCCTAGGCTGGAGTGCAGTGGTACAATCATAACTCGCTGCAGCCTTGACCTTCGGAACTCAAGCAATCCTCCCACCTCAGCCTTTAAAGTAGCTGGGACCACAGGCACGTGCCACCACGCCTAGCTAATTTTTTATTTTTGTCCCAAAAGCGGCAGGTGGGAATCCTGAATGTCGGGCTACCAGGGGACTGGGAGCGCCCCGGAATGCTCAATTTTTTTTTTTGAGACAGAGTTTCGCTCTTGTTACCCAGGCTGGAGTGCAATGGCGCGATCTCGGCTCACCGCAACCTCCGCCTCCCGGGTTCAGGCAATTCTCCTGCCTCAGCCTCCTGAGTAGCTGGGATTACAGGCACACGCCACCATGCCCAGCTAATTTTTTGTAGTTTTAGTAGAGACGGGGTTTCACCATGTTGACCAGGATGGTCTCGATCTCTTGACCTCGTGATCCACCCGCCTTGGCCTCCCAAAGTGCTGGGATTACAGGCTTGAGCCACCGCGCCCGGCCTCAACTTTTTTTTGAGACGGAGTCTCACACTGTCACCCAGGCTATAGTGCAGTGGTGTGATCTCGGCTCACTGAAACCTCCACCTCCTGGGTTCAAGCAATTCTGCTTCAGCCTCCCGAGTAGCTGGGACTACAGGCATGTGCCACCATGCCCAGCTAATTTTTTTTTTTTTTTAAGACGGGGTTTCACCATGTTGGTGAGGCTGGTCTTGAACTCCCGGCCTCGGGTGATCTGCCCACCTTGGCCTCCAAAGTGCTTGGATTATAGGTGTGAGCCACCACGCCTGGCCATCCAGCTAATTTTTTTGTATTTTTAATAGAGACAGGTTTTCACCATGTTGGCCAGGATGGTCTCGATCTCCTGACCTCCTGATCCTCCTGCCTTGGCCTCTCAAACGCTGGGGCCTGGCCTGTTTTACTTTATTTATTTATTTTAGAGATGGGGTTTCACCATGTTGGTCAGGCTGGTCTCGAACTCCTGACCTTGTGATCCACCTGCCTCAGCCTCCCAAAGTGCTGGGATTACAGGCATGAGCCACCACGCCCAGCCTTTATTTTTGAAATGGAGTCTTACTCTGTCACCCAGGCTGGAGTGCAGTGATGTGATCTCGGCTCACTGTAACCTCTGCCTCCCAGGTTCACATGATTCTCCTGCCTCAGCCTCCCGAGTAGCTGAGATTACAGACGCACATCACCATGCCCAACTAATTTTTCTTTTCTTTTCTTTTTTTTTTTTATTTTTTTTGAGACGGAGTTTCACTCTTGTTAACCCAGGCTGGAGTGCAATGGCACAATCTCAGCTCACCGCAACCTCCGCCTCCTGGGTTCAGGCAATTCTCCTGCCTCAACCTCCTCAGTAGCTGGGATTACAGGCATGCGCCACCATGCCCAGCTAATGTTTTTTTTTGTATTTTTAGGAGAGACGGGGTTTCACCATGTTGACCAGGATGGTCTTGATCTCCTGACCTCGTGATCCACCTGCCTCTGCCTCCCAAAGTGCTGGGATTACAGGCTTGAGCCACCGCGCCCGGCTTGTTTGTGTTTTTTTAGACAGTCTCTCTCTGTCACCCAGGCTGGAGTGATCTTGGCTCACTGCAACCTCCATCTCCCAGGTTCAAGTGATTTTCTTGCCTCAGCCTCCCAAGTAGTTGAGATTACAAGTGCACACCATCACACCTGGCTAATTTTTGTATTTTTAGTAGAGACAGGGTTTAGCCATGTTGGTCAGACTAGTCTTGAACTCCTGACCTCAGGTGATATACCCATCTCAGCCTCCCTAAATGCTGGGATTACAGGCGCCTGGCCACGCCCAGCTAATTTTTTTTTTTCCTTTTTCTTTTTTTTCCCCGCTGTGTTGCTAGGTTGGAGTTCAGTGACGTGATCTCGGCTCACTGCAATCTTCTGCTCCTAGGTTCAAGCAGTTCTCCTGCCTCAGTCTCTCGAGTAGCTGCGATTACAGGCATGTGTCACCACACCCAGCTAATTATTGTATTTTTATTAGAGACAGTGTTTCACCATGTTGGCCAGGCTGGTCTCGAACTCTTGGACTCAAGCAATCCGCCCGCCTCAGTCTCCCAAAGTGCTGGGATTACAGGCGTGCACCACTTTGCCTGGCCCATTTTATATTTTATATTCCCAGCAGCAGTTCCTAAGTGTTCCAAATTTCTCCACGTCATCGCCGATGCTTGTTTTCTTTTTCTTTCTCCTTGACCACTATTTGCATTATTTTCTGTCTGCAGACATCCACACTTTCTTTGCTGGGCCATTGAATGTAGTTGTAAGCATCATCTCTAGTGTCTTGATGAATGGAAGCTGATTATTTTAGTTAATATTTGTCTTGGGAAATATCCTTCCCTAAAATCAAAAACTCATTCTATATTTTCTTCTACAATATTTTGACCGGGTGTGGTGGCTCACACCTGTAATCCCAGCACTTTGAGAGGCCGAGGCAGTTAGATCACCTGAGGTCAGGAGTTCGAGACCAGCCTGGCCAACAAGGTGAAACCCCATCTCTACTAAAAATACAAAAATTGCCTGGGCCTGTTGGCGGGCACGTGTAATCTCAGCTACTCCAGGAGGCTTAGGAAGGAGAATCGCTTGAACCCAGGAGGTGGAGGTTGCAGTGAGCTGAAATTGTACCACTGCACTCCAGCCTGGCGACAAGAGCAAGACTCCATCTTAAAAAAAATAAAGGCCAGGCGCAGTGGCTCACACCTGTAATCCTAGCACTTTGGGAGGCCGAGGTGGGCAGATCATGAGGTCAAGAGATCGAGACCATCCTGGCCAACATGGTAAAACCCCATCTCTACTAAAAATACAAAAATTAGGTGTGGGTGCTAGTGAATGCCTGTAGTCCCAGCTCCTCAGGAGGCTGAGGCAGGAAAACCGCTTGAACTGGGGAGGCAGAGGTTACAGTGAGCTGAGATTGTGCCACTGCACTCCAACCTGGGCGACAGAGCAAGACTCTGTCCCAAATAAATAAATTAAGTGAATTAATTTTACATTTCATATAAGCCCCTAAACTCCTCACTGACAGTGACAATTTTTGTGTTATGATGTAGGAGGCAAATTTGAGCATCTCCATGGAGTAACCTGGCTAAAGAATTGTATTTTTACTGAATTGCAGATTCTTTTTGGTTTTCTTTTGTCCTTTCTTATCCTTCTCCTTTGGTGTGGCTAAGAGCCCTGGATTTTAGAATAGTACTAGTGCACCTCCTTTTGTTTGCAGTTTCTCAGTTAGCTACTTGGCTTATCAATTTTCAGACATTTCTAATTTTATAGCATATATAGCCTTTAATGCTACACATATTTTACCAGGTCATACTTTTGTTCACCTAAGATTTTTTCTTGAGAACAAGTTTTTTTGTTTTTTTTTTTTTTGAGAAGAGCCTGTCACTCAGGCTGGAGTTCAATGGCATGATCTCAGCTCACTGCAACCTCTGCCTTCTGGGTTCAAGTGATTCTCCTGCCTCAGCCTCCCGAGTAGCTGGGATTACAGGTGCATGCCACCACACCTGGCTAATTTTTGTATTTTTAGTAGAGTTGGGGTTTCAGCATGTCAGCCAGGCTGGTCTTAAACTCCTGACCTCAGGTGATCCACCCACCTCAACCTTCCAACGTGCTGGAATTACAGGCATGAGCCACCATGCCCGGAAGTTCACCCAAGTTTTGACTGATATTTTTAATTGTTCCATTTGGGATGCTTTAACATTTCCCTTCCGATTTCTTCTTTGACCTATAGATCATTAAATATTTTAAATTTTTCAAACATAGACCTTTAAAAAATACATATTTATTTCTAGCTCAATTGCCCAAATGGTCTATATGAAATAAATTCTTTAAAATTTAATAAGATTTGCCCTATAGCCTGGAATGTGATCAGATTTTTGTGACTATTCCATGTGTTCTTGAAGGACATAGTCTGTGTTTTTTTGTTTTTCCCTTTTTTTTCACATGTTCTAATTGAAGGACATATTCCCTGGCTCTATGAGTTTAATAAATTCAAATCTCCATCTTGCCTAACCTTTTGTCTGTGACGTATCAATCAGCAGAAATTAATCTCCCTCTTGGACAACAGAGTTCTAAATTTCTCTATCCAATTCTGTCAGTGTTTTCTTTGTATATTTTGTAGTCTATTCACAAGGTGCTCACAGATTTAGAACTGCTAGATTTTCCTGGTGAATCAGGCATTTTATCATGATATATTGACCCCTTCTATCTTCTAGTACTACTTCTTAGTCTAGTTTGGCTGGTAGTAGTATAGCCTTTCTAGCTTGCTTTCTTTTGATTAGTATTTGCTGTATTTTTTTAACATCCCTTTACTTTCAACCTTCCAGTGACTTTATGTCAAGGCCTGTCATCCTTTAAAAAACATACAGCTGGATATTTTCAATGTAGTCTGACAGTCTGTGTCATTTAACTTTAAAGCTTAGTCCATTTACATTTATTGTGATTACTGACATAGTTGACTTTGTTTCTACCATCTTACTTTTTTGCTTTCTATTTGTTCTGTTGTTGCAGGTGACATTGGCTGTCATCCTAATTGTTGTTCCTTTATAGGTGATCTGTCTTAACTCCCTGGCTGCTTTGTGATTTCTTTGTTTTTGGTGTTCTGCAGTTTGACTCCATTGTGTCTAGGTATGGATTTCTTTTTATTTACATGGTTTGATACACTTTGTGTGTGTCATTCATTCTGCAAACTTCTCAACCATTTTCTTTCAGTAATTCCTTTTATTCTTCATTCCTTCTCTTCCCTTCATCTGGGGCTCTGATTTGATTTGCATTGGGCTTTCTGTTCTATCTTTCTTATCCCTTGGCCTCTCCATATTTTCCACGTACTTGTTTTTCTGAGTTGGAATCTGAGTGATTTCTTCAGATCTGCTTTCAGTTCATCAGTTCCTCCTTTGGCTGTTTCTAATTTGCTGTTTAACAACCTATTATTTCAATACTTACATTTTCCCTTTAGAAGAGTTTAATTTAGTTCCTTTGCAACTCTACCAAGTCATTGGAAGGAAGTCTCATGTCACCTGTTCTGTGATTCCAGCTTTCATCTCCTTAATCATTTGACACATAATTGACAGGGCCAATTTCTGAAGTCTTTGAGGCCTAAACTTAACTATTGTCTTTCTGTTAACTCTCCTTTATGGTGACTTGTTCCTTATGCATTTGGTGATTTTGGCTGTAAGCTCATATGAATTTGCTCCCTTTTTTTTATTTTTATTTTTAAAATTTTTTTCCACATAAAACAGATTTTTAATGTGGTTG